GGATTCGAACCCGCCACCTTAGGTGTATGTGGCTGGTGCCTTAGCCGCTTGAGCCACAGGCACCAAGCCAAGCAGTAATATTTTGAAGAGTCTTTTTTCCATGAGTAGTAGGTCTCAACAATGCACTTAAAATATTTCAGTAAACCATGCTATGAACAGATAATGCCATCATCCAGGCTTTGTTATACCATGTATAATAGGTCAAGTAAATTGAGCATAATTCTTAGGGGCTCTAGGATTTTGAGAATAGTAAATAGAGCACTAGCTTTAACCTAGTTACTAGTTATATTAGCCCCTAACAGGAGAGTCAGCCTGTTCTTTGTGGCTGTGAAGTCAGGAGTTGATTTTTCTTTAGCTATAAAGGTTTTAGATAGTATCTTCTTCTTTCAGTGGAAGGTTGTTTCATCTACATTGAAAATCTTTTGAGTATAGCCACCTTCCTCAATGATGTTAGGTAGATCTTCTGGATAACATGCTGCAGCTTCTCTCTCCATTAGCACTTGCTGCTTCACCTTGTACTTTTATGTTATGGAGATTGTTTCATTTATTAAACCTCATGAACTAATCTCTGCTAGCTTCCTTCTTTTCTTCTGCAGCTTCCTCACCTCTTTCAGCCATATTACAATTTAAGAGAGGTAAGAGTCTTGTTCTGGATTACGCTTCGGCTTAAGGTAATGTCGTGGTTGGTTTGATCTTCTATCCAGACCACTACAACCTTTTCCACGTAAGCAATAAGGCTGTTTAACTTTATTATCATTTCTGTGCTCACAAGAGTAGCACTTTTTTTTTTCTTGAGAGAGAAAGTCTTACTCTGCTGCCCCAGGCTAGAGTACTATCGCATCAGCCTAGCTCACCTCAAATTCCTGGTTTCAAGCAATCCTTCTGCCTCAGCCTCCTGAGTAGCTGGGACTACAGATGTAAGCTACAATGCCAGGCTCATTTTTCTTTTTCTTTCTTTCTTTCTTTCTTTCTTTCTTTCTTTTTTTTTTTTGAGATACAGTCTCACCATGTCACCCTGGATAGAGTGCCATGGAGTTACAGCTCACACAGCAACCTCAACTCTTGGACTTAAGCCATTTTTTTGCCTAGGCATCCCAAGTAGCTGAGACCACAGGTGCCTGCCACAATGCCTGGCTATTCTTTTTTATTATTATTATTTTTTTATTTT